TTTTGACAGTGCGACCAACATAAACATGGCTGGTTGGCCAGTGCAAGCAATGTGATTTACATACTTCAGAAAATGAAAATGAAAATATACATCTCAAAGTAAACTAAAAAAAACAGTTATCATTAATTGAGATTGCAACAGATCAAGACAACCTGGGCTACGTTTTTAAGCCTACATACTGTCATACTAAAAGTCAATGACAATTCAAGATCCACGATGCTGTATTGCATTATAAAATGACTATACCGTTTTTGTTAAATAAAAAAACTAGAAAAACCAACAAATCAAGCTAGTCACATACAGATGTTTAAAAAGGATCAACATTATACTCCACTAATGTCATCGGATGTGATGAAATATGCAGTTCCATCATATTGCTGTACGATTATTATTTTCTATCTTTAAAAAGTGTGTAAAGTTAGGAATAAATTAATAAAAATTTTGAGAATAAAAATGGCAAAAAGTACAATACAGAAAAACAATCAAAATGAAAAAAAAAAGACTACAGGAATGAATAATTCTTTTCTACATACAATCCCCTCCCTCCTTCCCTATTATAAAGTACTCATTGGCATAATCACTACATAATCATTACATTTTACTCAATGTTTATGCTTTAAAAAAAATAAATAAATAAAAGATATAACAACGCACCTCCCTATACCTAACCCCCAACACTATGTTAATCTGGGCCTTCATGGTTAAAGTTGAAAAACCCATGGTAAAATCTTTCGTATATATTTTATAACAAAAAATATTTTTAACTATATTTTGTTTTTCTCCTACTTGAAACATAGCTTTTCAGATAATGTTTCTCTGCTAATTTAATTATAAATCAAATGTCAAGAAAATCTTATCATGCCAATCAAGCCATAGTGTATTTAATCATTTTTGACATTGAAAATAAACATCAATTTGATAAAGTATCAATCCACTCAACAAATATAACCTGGTTAATTTAAGTAGTAAAATTGAGCACACAATTACTGGCAGCAACCAATGAAGTACCAAGAATGCTTTGATACTTTATTATAAGTTCAACTAGTTGTAAACTGAGTACATGATTAAATGGTATAGTGATATTATAACCAATAATTATGTATACATAGATACATACATGTTTAATTTAAGGTACTTAAGTCGTTAGTAATTAATAACGTACGAAGGTGCTCCTAGTAAACTGAGCTTTAATATGTTTAATTTTTTTGATTAATACATGGTATTATTCAATTGATATTGTCTGAATTTTATATGGTAGCCTTATTTAATGTGCAATATTTTGGTGTTGCATAATACTTCATGTGATTTCAAAAAGTATACAGAGGCTCATTGGTCTATGTAACAGAAAGTAACATATAAGGAACAATGAATTACATAATTTATGTTTTAAAAAAGTTGGTTCCTTAAATTTTGGTATACCAAATTGTATTTATTCAATATTGTAAAAAAATTAGAGAACGAAAGAAAAGCTAATAAATTTTATTATGTATATATAGAACTGTTTATGTGGATGACAATATCTAAACATGACAGAAAACACTAAAACTGAGTTACATGAAACTTATTTCAGAAACACATTTTGTGGTTAAATGTGCAATTATGTGATAAAAACCATAAATATCACCTGTTTGTCAATAGAAAGACTAATATCATAAAACAACGGCTGAGTACAACTGGCCATTGCTTAATATCTAAGTTGCAAAAACAGGATTCCTGTTGGCTCAAAGTTTCCATGAGTTTCATCTGACCAGACATGCATACACATAAAGAAAAAACCTTTCATTTCACGGCAGCTCTTTTATGATTTTCTATCTTAAAATGTGCTCTCGTAACAATACTCCCAGGGTAATAATAATACTAAAGCATCTATCTTGAAAACCTATTCCGAAGTGCGGTAGAGAGATGAAATAGACAATAACATAAAATGAACAATGTATTACATAAATTATGTTTGAAAAAAAAAAATGTTATAGCAACATTAAATAAACGAGCTTTCATGTTTTTTTTTTTTTTCCACTTACTGAACTGAAAGCGAGTAAAGAAAAACAAAGCATTCTAGATACTGGCAGCTGCTGCAGTTAATGCATCGTCACCTAGGGCAGATGGGTACGCGAGAGTCCACCCCACCTGAGCGCCACCATAGTTGGGGCTGAGGTGGGCAAATTTTGAGAATATGGACATCTAGGTGCCAGGAAATTGCACTCATATACCTTAAAAATCTTTCCGGTAATCCATATCAACAATATAATACAATTATTTTTCTAATACAATTTAGGGGGATGCAATCGCACCATCTGCACACTGCCAACACCCCTCTCCCCCCCCCCATCCGCCCCAGGCCACTTTACAAAGAGGCAATGCAATATGATCAAATTTACAGATCTGAGGTTGAAAATTGAACATTTGAATTCATTAATTTATTCTGATTTTTTTCATTTTTAGCTTTCAATTGCTAAAAGACACTTGAACACAGATTCCTCACCAAAGTACACATAAAAATTCTTATATTAGCAAACACAATGCACTCCACTCCTAATCTTCAAGAGAGACAAATTCAAGTTATAACTGATAACATATAGTATGCCTACACTTTGTAATTATTACGATCCTATCTTTAAATATTACCGCTGTCACA